ACAAGTTACATCCAGCCCTCCTTTGTTTTCCAATAAGCTCTCCGGTGCAGCTGTGGGCATGTGTGTCAGTGTTGGCTTCAACCTGCAACAAAATCATCATCTGCATTCAATCAGCCCAAACAAAAGTACAGCAGATCTTCAAACGGAATTGCACATTTCACATTTTATATGGCTAGTGGAGCAGCAGTTTATGTTGGTTTGTATCCCTTGAATTTATTTTATAACTTTTATTTTTTTTAAACAATCTTTTCCCCTCGGTTCGGATCAGCTGAAAATGACGCAATCGGGCCTGATTTCACATCACGTTATCAGGATTGGGACACCTTTAAGCGCATACAAGTTCAATAAATAATAAAATAACATTTAAAAAAACAAAGGAAAATATATATTAAAAAATAAATAAAAAGTGCACCGAAACAAATGTTGGAAAACAAACCCCAATATGAAACTTAACAATTGCACTGGATTGAAAAAAAACTTTTGAGTACCTGAAGCATTTTACAGTTTGATTTCTCAGCTAGGCACGCACACAAAGAATCACTGCCCTCCCTGAAACGATTAGCTCTCAGATTGTGGTTGGGTGCGGCGCTTTGATTTATTCAGAGAGGAGGGGCGGCTGCCGGGTCATACCCCTGAGTGCACGGCGCCATGCACAAAGCCCTCCAGCGGTAAATGGACTGGTTGCTCTCCGTCATCACCAAATTGACCACGTGGCCGGGCGAGGGCTTGTAGTAGGCAGGCAGCAGCAGAGAGTCCAGGCAGAAGAACACGCTCTCGTCAACCACACCCTTGTTAGCATACATGCTGGTCACACACACCTGCACACGCGAGAAGGAAAAGTGTAACAAAGAGTGACCTGGAACAATGACTGCAACACGATCAAGAAAGCAGCTACCTGGTTAAGACGGGAATAGCGCAAAGGGGCAACAGACTGAGCCTGGGTGGTCCACTGGGTGGGATTGATAAAATATGTCGCTTGGACCCAATCTCCTGTCATGGGCTCGTAACCTGAAGAGACACGTGTCTTAATTTTTAATATGACTTTTGAAACAACCTTTGAAAAAAATAAATAAATAAAAATATTGCAAATGTCAGAAGGGAAAATGTTATCCACCACAATCCACTTTCATGTCATGACGCTATGCAAGTACCTTCGCATAGACTGGAGCGCGGGAAGTAAGTAGTCTGATTGATGTGGCCGCACTGGCCATCAAATGACGTGACGGTGCCGATGAGAGGGCGCAGCCGAGCGCAGTCGTCCTCCAAAGATGTCCCTTCTCCAGGCTCCCACGTGTCAGAACTCTTCGCAACCTACACAGCACAATTCAAAAAGGATCAATCCAGGGTCTTCGGTTTATAACGGAGTTTGTTCCCACAGCAGCAATGTAACCCCTACGCGATCGCAATATCGTCAAAATTAGAGAAATTGTTTGGAGCTTTCGTTTTATAAGAACATCCCGTAGATTATCCTATTGTCTGAAATCTGTGAACAGTGAATATGTCCTTACAATAGGTTAGACTGACAATCCTGAGTATTCAGCATGTTCAATATTTATTTATATATGAATGCCATGCCATGTTAACTCTGAGTACTCAACTACCGTAAATCAAGTACACAAAAAGGATATACTGCATACTGAAATAATGAGAGATCTGCTTCTTGTGAAAACCTCATTTTCCCCTCGTGTCAAAACGTACATTGTATATAATTGACAGTAAAACTTTTAACTTTTGTATTTACTGCAAGTACATTTCAGTCTGTACTTTTTACTTTTACAAGGAGCTGAATCGTTACTTTTGCTCCAGTATGTATTTTTATTTTACAGGTAATTAGTACCTGTATTTCTATAGTCCAGAATATGACAATGTTTGACACCTCTACATGTACTAGAAGACTCAAATACACATTGTCCTTGCTAACATGAGTGCTACTCACCCTGAGGGCTTTCCATCCGCCTTGGGCACCATCTGTCATGGCAATGCAGCTCACCACGTCCCCCACTTTGAGAGGCACCCCACCCATCACCACGCCGCTCGTGAAGTAGACGGCATCGTCCACGAGGCCGTGGTCTAGGCCCAGCTGGGTCACCACGCCATCGGTGAGATGGCGAATGGTCTCAGATTCTGCACGGCAAAGCAATTGCAAAAGCAGGCTAGGAAGCGAGTGTCATGGCGTTGGGGAAAATAAAGCCAGAAGTTACCCGCCGCACCGCCGCCAGCCTCCACTTGTGCTGTACTCCACAACGGGGAGATCAATTTGGACAGCATGCACCTTACGGCGGAGAGCATATTGGATCAAGTGACTCGAGTTGATGGAAACCTGCTGGGGGATAAGGTAATGGTCAAACATGCTCAACACGATGGATGGCATCCCCCTCGCGGCTCAGGTGTAAGCTAATTGAATTAATTTAGCGCAATTTATCGTGCTCAAGATAGCAATTAGCTAGCCGAAACGTTTACATTAAGCCCACTTTGATTGGAACCATCGCGCCCGGCTACGTGACGCCTGAATTATTCTAATTACCTTCATAAATAGCTATTATTGTGCGCGTTGGATATTTAAACGGCGTTCTGTACGCACGATATGATTTAAATGTTGACAACGAGGATTCCACAGCAAAATAAACCAACGCTCGACTTGGATAGTTCTGCTCAAATGTGAGGATGAAGGTGCGTCGTTCGACTAATGGCGAGGGGAGGGGCTCCGTCGGCCCAAAGCGGAAAAGCCACCAATGCATTCTGTACACTACTAGCTTTGCTATCAAACTAAATGTATTTCAAATATATATTCGTACAAGACGCACTGAATAATCACGAAGTTAACTGGTTTTGAATGGCTTAGCTAGCAAGAAGAAACATGTTACACTCGAAGGCGCTAATGCTAACTAGCATGCTAAGACTGTTGCTGTTAACAGGCAAAACTATAATGATCCCTCCATACTGTGAAAAATATTGGACCAAAACTAAATCTGCCTTTATCGGGGCTCTCGCTTCGTGTTGGGTTGCAAGTCATAGCCAGGATTCTATTCTTCCAGCTTTACAAAGTAAAACACCTTTAAGAAAAGTCACGATGTCACAAATGGACCAAAATTCTCTCAGAAACACTCCATAGTTTTTTCAAATGTCTTTTTAATTTTTTTTTTTTTTTTTTTTTGCAAGCATCCATAGCCAGTCCACCCATGACAGCACATTCCGACTGTTGTGTTCACGATACAAATGGCACTCTTTGCGAAGTGGTTACATTAATGACAAACTGTAAGGGTGAGTCATCAGTCTTCTTGTGGGACCTGATGACACAGAATGAAACGTTACCCTCTCATTTGTACATGAGTATTTGGGCTTCACCGAAACGACAACATGGCAAGATTGAAGATGTAATCTGATGAGGTTAAAGATGTGGTTTTTGTTTCATTTTTTAGAAATATCTATATTTTCAAGATAAAAAAACTGTCATTCAATGACATTAAAGTGGTATACTGTCCAGATTGAAAGTGTTAAGATTATTTGTGATTTTTGGGTATTGAAGTTGTAATCTTACAAAAAAAAGTAATATATTCTAAAATGTATACTTTATCGAAGTTGTATTTTTTTACAAGATTAAAGTTATGATTTCACAAGATTAAACTTGTAATTTTGTATCGTGCCACATGCCACACAGAACACACAGTATATTCTGTGTTATTTGATTTTATTCTACATTTGTTGTATAGTAGAACAACGCAATTTGAAATGAATGAAAGAACATCGATGTTAATAAATTGTTGAATTACTCTATAATCATCTTTGTTGTCAGTACCGGGGCTTTAAAACCGGCAATTTAAAAAGCGATGAACAAAAATGGTTGAACAGCATGTACACTTCTCAAATGGTCCTTGACACAAAAAAAAAGGTTTGGGACCACTGCCATTCAGTCTCTGGTCTCTGTGTAACGTTAATATAACCACAAGAGGTCAGTGTTAACCCTCAAAACAAGACGCTTGTCGAATGAGACGTCGGCTCGAGCTCATCCATCCACCCGTGAATGAGAATACAGACCGCAAACAACTCGAAGCTGTTGCAAATTTCCGAGACAACAAAAGCAGAATGACTTCCATACCCTCCAAGGATGTGGGTTTTGCAACCATTAGTCCTTCTGTCACTTCTATCTGTAAACAGAATTGCGCAAACAGTACCAGGGTGACTTAACCCCAAAAAACCTCAGCAGTGATGAGTGTGGTGTGGGCTCAGGTGGAACCCATTAAATTTTGGGCTCTCCCCCACACCCTGAACATTCACTGTGCAAGCGGTTAATGTCGTTGTTGTATTTACTTCACGAGTGGTCTACCATTACCCAACATGCAGTATACTGTTTGTTATGTAACCAAGCATCCCTCATGGCATGGAAAGTTGGTATACATTCAGCGCAATGAGCACATCTCAAACATGCTCAATTGTCACAGAGTTGTTTTTGTTTGTTCAATTGCTCTACACAAACAGTACAAATCTGCTGACTTCTTTGGAATTGTTTTGCAATGGGGGGGGGGGGGTTGTGAGGACTCTGCTCTTGGTTTTCCACTGCTTAAGATGAGAGTAAATCCAAGAACGTCTCAATTGTGAGACTGAACGATATTTGAGGGGAAAATTGCCAAATTAATGGAACAAATATTACAGAACGTTCATAGTAATGGAATAGTTCATTGGGACAGATGAAACTATACTTTGCCCAACCTTGAACGAAACTATGGATTCCGCAAGTGCTTAAGATGCAACCAGAGAATGCTTCCTGTGGTGGCAAAGATGGAACAGGAGACAACTGAAAAGCCGGAAATTTATCTTAACTGCTACATAAGAAAGTGATGTGCGGTTCAGTTCAATGATAAAGCAGATTACAGGAATACCTGGAAGGTAAAAAAAAAAAATCTTAAAGCGCCCCCTAGTGACAATGTCGCGCTTTTTGTTCCCTCTCCAATACTTGCCTGTTAGTTGTCTGCACAAGGTGAGTTGTTTTTACTTTTAGTTTTCTCTCGAACAACTGAGAATATTAAGATTAGGAAATACGCACATTCAGCTATTTTAATGAAAAAAAATCCTGAATAATTATTGAATTGAAAAAGATACGCATTGTAGAGCACGGACCATCAAACTAAAACGGAGCATTATTTCATTTAATCATAAATTTGGCTTTATTATGTTTTTAACGCTTCACAAACAGGGGAAAAGACAGTAGAGGGCGGTACTGTCTCACTTGCCTACCCTAACCGCACGTCCCTGAATTATTCTTTTAAGTGCTTGTGCTGTACATTTTGTGAAAGCATGAGGTGTGTTCCGTGGAGATGGTTGAATGTTGATGAAAAGAGCGAAAGGGGAGCAGATGGATTAATGTTGAGGTCAAGAGCAAGAGGGAGTCTGCAGGGGAGACGCCAGCTACGCCCCTTGCTCATCAGCTGCAGCGGTTTCGAGAGAGAGAGAGAGAAAGAGAGAGAGAGAGAGAGAGAGAGAGAGAGAGAGAGACTCAAACTCACAAAGGAGGAGGAAGACACCAAGCAAGCAAGAGGATGACTGCGCAATCTCCGCCCACCGGCCTCGGATCCTTCCTTCCTTTACGTTGAGTAAAAGAGGAAAAGAAGCGAGCGAAAAGGATCAGAAACAAGCAAGACACACGAGAGAGAAAAAGACGAGGAAGGGAGGGAGCCAGCCAGCAGCAAAACGACCATGGCAGTATCCACAGCGTCTCCGCTCCCGATCGCGTCCGAGCACCGCACACCTCAACCCGGGTCGACCGCGGCGCGGAGCCGGCAAGCGCACGGCGACACGCAGCTGAGTCCGGATGAATGAGCAGCAGGCAAACATGAGGGTCATCTTCATCCAAAACGCCGGTTTCGTCGCAGCTTTCTCGCCTTGTCGATGTGAGTCAGTGATGTTGGCAGCGTTCAGGAACACAGAAGATGCGAGCAAGCCCCAAATGACACACGGACAGACCTTACTAGTCGAATGAGGAGTAGCCCATGTGATATATTTATTATTAGAGGCGCATTATAGACTATATAACTTGTTTAAGTCGAATGATCGGCTGACTTAATATTATAATACGTTATTATTACACAATTAATATCCGTTTTTATTTCAAATGAAAGAAACGTCATTTTTGTAGACTTTTATGTTAAGTAGATGGTTAGGTCGTTAATATGATCGTTTTAAAGACAATCTGGAAATGTTTGCTTCCACGTGGACGAATATGACAAGTAGCTTGTTCGTTATTCCTTGTAATTTATTTATTTATAACTATTATTAAGCTTACAAGTATTACAGCATATTAGTTTGTTATTGCGAACATAGCGGGTGACTTAAAACAACACGCGCGTTAGACGAGTGAGATGGAAAGAGCGTACTTGGCGCCCCGCCGCGGGGCGAGCCGCTCCGAGCCCCCCAGAGGTCAAAGCTGTGGGGGCGAACCCCGTGCCCCGCCGCTGCCCGCCGGACGCTCACCCGAAGAGATCACTGCGGGCGGCGACGGCGACAGGAGGAACCCCGGCGTGAAAAAACACCACCACAAGCACAACCTGAAGCACCGCTACGAGCTGCTGGAGACGCTGGGGAGAGGCACGTACGGCAAAGTCAAGAAAGCCATTGAACGCCACTCCGGCAGAGAGGTAACGCGTTACACATACACGTTACATTGGCCGGACAATGCAACCGGACATGCATGCACGCCCCCTTTTTTTTAATGTCCAGTAATGGGAAACGACGAAGCAAAAATCCTAAGTCACTCTACTTGAGTAATTTTTTTTTCAGTGATTGAGTCTGTACTTGTTTATTGTACCCCTAAAGGAATTAGAGACCTGCTATTTCTATTGACTGATTTCTTGGGATAGAGAAACAGGGACACAAGCAACATGGTGGAACATTAACCAGGAAGCATTCAAGACGGTGGCAGCATATTTTCGGAGAAGCAAGATATTCCCCATCAGTGACCTTATTTAAGGGACTTGTTTGATGTTGGTGGCAAGAATGCTATGCGGCAAATGCTTTGTGTCCTGTGCAAGGCCTAAAAACACATACTTCAGGCGTTAACATCTAATTTGGAAGGGGGAGACATGCTAGTAAGATGGATGTTTTTTCATGATAGTTAGCGAATTTTGCATTTTGGTTCCTGTGTTCACAACGTTAGCAAAGCTATGGGAATGCATGTTGAAAGCATGAAAGTCGACCCAACTCCAGCGATCTCTTAACAACATGCGATTTCTTTTCTTTTCAGGATGAGCACGTTGTAGGTTAAAAAAAATGAGGAAACTGTAATGTGCAGATGAGTTTTCTTTTACGTTTTGCCTATTCATCAAAACGGGTGTTTTATATCATTGACAGGAACATGGGTACTGTTGCGACCCCTTATGGGACTAGTTGAAAGTCACAGCAACTTTTGCACATCTGCACATTTCAGAGTCTGCACAGTAATTTTTTAACTATTATTGAAGCACAGGAGTTGACTCACTACTCCTACTTTTACGAGTCTTTTTTTTTTTTAACATGCTTGTGTTTACTTCTGTTTAAATACAGTGTGTGAATACTTTTGCCCCCTCTGGTTATGTCTGTCATCTGCATTTATGCAGTCTCTCGCAGCTAGCCATCCGACCCCCTCTACCACCCCCCCAAAAAAAACCTACGCCAAAGGGCCCATGGGGCCAACTGCACACACGCCTCAGTCCATGCAGGGGCCCCATCACCAGATGTGTGACCGCAAACCAGGCTACTGCCTCTCTGACACCAAAAACCCCAGTCTTGCCCTCTACATTAGGTACACCTGCACCGTGTAAGAAAGACGCAAAATGCAAAAGATGGATTTTCATAAAGTCGAGCTTGACTGTCACTTTGTGCTCATGTCGAAAAACGGGAAAAGTAAAGTCGCCCCCCAACTCCCCTCGATTTTTGTTTATGCAAAACACATTGCCCGCCCTTGACGACGACATCATCACGTTTGAGGTGTATGATATCCCAACAGTCCTGTTATGTCCGATTAATTCCATGTGCGGTCAAACTTGACCCCACTTGCCCAAGCTGGCAGGACACGAGGAACTTTCCATGGGCTGAGAATACCGAAGGGGAACTAAATATAGGTCACCAGCGTGTGTTCCCCCCCCACCCACCCAACTCTCCTAACACCACCGTCACCCCTCCAATATGACATAGCCCCCGGGCCTTCTCTCCATCATTGAGGTTTGTTTTGTTATCGACGTTGCCGCAGCTTCACTGTGACATGTTTTGCTCATTAAATTGCGCAACGTTTACTCGTGGTATCTCATGCAGATAGTGAATGAGCTCATGCTTGGCTTAAAGGGAGTCTGGGTATGATTACTTACTCGAAAGCTCCACTTTCGGGCTGTGTAAATGAGTTTTTATCAAGTTATGCAAAGGCATGCAAGCGCTGCAGGGAAACGAGCGTACCCCAATAACTTGAATTGAAACGATTTTCCACTCTATGGCCCTTTGTTTTAGACTTATGTGACTCGTGTCATTTCTGTGTGCGTCTTTCTCCTTTTTTCATCTTGAGACCCAAATTACAAATCCGAAATTGTGGCGGAGGGAAAAGTGTGCACTTCCAAAGACCAGTCAAGTTATCACAAAACATTTGCAAGTTGAGTTAATAAACCAGGAGCATTTTTACTGCTTCTGAGAAACAATACGAGACTTACTTGTCCTACCAAATGCTTGAAAGTCAAAATTTCGGCTTGATGAAACTTGCAGAAACCCGGAATATAATACCTTTTTCCATTTTCCTACAACAATTACCCTGCTTTAGTCTGTGCGATTGGCGACCATCCATGTGCCACATACAGTACGTTAGCTCGAGACTCCTGTTGGCCGCACGGCAGATAGTGAACAAGCAGTCGGACGCAATGGCCTTCCAGCGCATCCGAGAAAGCAATTAGAGACATGGGAAACGTGTGGAAAGGACTGCCGACACTTTAGCAAGAATGATGACACACGGGGCGCTCGTCACGTCAGCGAAAGTGCAACGGAGCGGTTGTCCGCTTTAATCTCCGTCGCCATATGGTGAGAGTGGCAGTCTGAGGCAGAACGAAGCGCAATTAATCACGGGGGGGGGTCGTATTGACGCACGCCCATGTGTTTACGCACGCTTCTGGATTTTGTTTCATATTTTTATGGAGTGGCGAGACGGGTGTGTGTTTGTTGCCATGGTGTCTGCCATCAAGACGACTGCGTTGAAAAGGTTGCGGTGATAGCGAGTGACAAATGAAAGGAACACTCACAGCAGGGAACCCGAGTGACAGAGCGGCAACCTCCGCCAACCCCGCAATCAAATCCTCTGCGTCCCGATTCAGGGGATGCCCTCTTTCACAGTGTACATATGCGGCATTGGATGTTCAAATGAGCCATTGGTAGTGGAGTGTTTCACATGGCTGACTCGCTGGCAGGGGACCATTCCCATTCAATGCCGTCTCCCAAATCACTCACCGTGATTGACTGGCGACAAGTCTAGGAGGCAGTCATAAGCATTACAAAGTGGTGCTAAATGCCATTTGCCGCTCTTCCTACTGGCCCGGTGCCCCCACTATAACTGGTGTTAGCTACGATGCTAGCAATTCTCGCAGTCTGGAAATCAGTCACGGAGTCCACACGACCAAAAGTCGATCAGCACATAACATGACTCAAAAAAATATGGGCTCGGAGGGTGAGCCCCCCCCCCCCCGGCCCCCCTCAAGGAGAGTCGCTCTCCCAAGCATAACAGCATTATATTAATATAATCTTAAAGCATCGCATTACATCACGGCTCAACAATGGTGAGGTACGGGAAAGGGAAAAAAACGCCGACATTCCTGCGCTCCATGCAGCCCTGTTGATGAGGTCTTACGATCTTTGGCTCGTGTGGGAATACATTTCTCCGTTAGAATAACACCCCCCCCTCCCCCCGCCACGCCACGAACTGTGACTTCAAGCCCAATACAATACATAAGAGACGCCGGGGACGATTAGCAAACACGGGGATGGGCGAGCTCAGCGGTGAATCTTTCATCTGTTTTAATGGTCTGAGAAAGAGCAAGAAGTCGTCAGGCTCCGGCGGAGCGAAGCACCGGGTTTCACTTCAAAACGGCCAGTTGCAAACCAGACGGGGGGTCGGCCGCGTACCTGGCAGGGGCCTTGGTGGACCGTGGGGGTAGCGCCTGTCGACTGTGAGTGGCGGTAATAGGGTTCCACTTAAGGACAAGCGTAGCCGCGTTAGCCAGCTGGCAAGTGGATGGTCTGCGGTCCTGTTTAATGATCCGCATCGGGGTCAGGGCGGGAGAACATGAGGAGATACACAACAGATACCTGGCGTGCTCTCAAGGCCCCTTTCTGTGGGCCTGCATGCTCTCTCAACGGGGTAGCATTGCGGCGCCGAATTAGGATCAATAAGATGGATTGCTCCCCACTTTAAAAAAAAAAAAAATGCTCGCTTTGCTTTGCATGCAACCTTTATAGGTCGTGAATCAGGTATTTCCTAAATTAGTGAATTCCTGATTTAATAAAGCCAGGAGGATGACTCACCTTCTGCAACGCTCGGGAGATAAAAGACTCGTAAATCTAATGAGGTAAAAAGAAGGAAGACAAACAACTTTTACTAATTGTGAACATAGCGCTGCCCCCCCCCCCCCACCTCCGAGGCTCCTTTTGGTTGATTCTCATATCATTTCTTTTCAATTCTATGTCATCAAGGCATGCCCTGGAAGGGAACCGTTCCGGTTTGGGGTTATTTTTATTGATGTACACGGTAATTAGCTTGGCACCGGCTACTGCCTGCGGTTTGGGCCGCATGCAATATAAAGAAGGGCTCCTCAGAAAACTCGTGCTCAGATAGCAGAGGACAAAAGTTTAAACTAACAAATGAACGGACTCTGCGGCGGCCTCATCAAAGGAACGCCAGGACTTCATGCAAGAATGTTTAGGCTGCAATTACAGTGACATGTGCACCACTGTATATTTTATCGGTTTATTTGGGGTAGCCTCTCATTTAAGGCTCGCATATAGGCCTGAGGACTGGAACGCGCACCGCGTTAGCGTTGCCACGACGGCTTGACCTCCTCGTTGGCAAGCTGAGGAGGCATCACTCACTCAGTCGTCCTTTTCCAGATTCCTCCTTTGGAAAAAAAAAATTCCCAGCTGGCCAAGCTCTTTCAAAAAGGGAAGCCAAAGCTTCTTTTTTTTTTTTAAATTCTTCCCCAAAATGGAAAGACTAAAAATAAGTGTGGTGACTTACTGTCCTTTCGAGGACTCTGACAGGTGAGGAAACACGGCCATCGCTTTTGCATCACCCTTTGACCCCCCTTGCCAAAATGATAAAGGACCTCTTCACCTCCTGTTCTTTTTACTACTCAGCTGCTCGCAGGTAGACAGTTATGGAAACCCCCCTCGTGAATCTCCCACCTCTCTCATCTCTCAAGGGCGACACTGACTAATACCTGGTTAAATATAGGCTGGGAGCAGAGGGCACCTGAAGAGCAAAAAGCACGCCTCCATTCTAGGCCCCCGCATGCTACTCAAGCAACTCTTATGTCGCCCCACACGTGAAAAGAGGCTGAATAAATTACACCGTGTGAATGACGCCTCTTCTCCTGAATCATTTTGCGTCCGTGTCAGCAGAGCCGGCTGATAGGTTCGAAGAACGCCATGCGATCAATTTTTAAAAATGTCTCGAAATAAGAATCGCGGTTTGCGAGGCCAACGTAGCATTTTGCGCCTCTGGACACCCTGAAAAGCGAAACTGCAAGGCGGGCACAACGCTCTTATGTCAAATGACATGACAGCTGATGATGTGCTCGGTCGTGCTGTTACACTCCACTCCTCTAGGTGGCAACGGCTGCAATCAAGGTGCAAAATGCCATACACATGTCAAACTTCTTTTTCTTCCCTCCATTGTACAGTTCTGCAGTTCAGTGGATGGTAAAAAGTAAAAAGACCGTAGCTGAGCTGCACCTTTATCCAGATCTGCACCAACATTTCAGGGGTTCTTCTTTTAATATCAATCTGGACCTTAAACTTTTGGAATCTTGAGACTGTTTTCTCATCATTGTTCTATTTTTAGCTGCTTGGCTGACGAAGAGCTTTTCATTCCTCACAGGTGGCGATCAAGTCTATTCGGAAGGAGAAGATCAAGGACGAGCAGGACATGGTTCACATCCGCCGTGAGATTGAGATCATGTCGTCACTCCGCCACCCGCACATCATCTCTATATACGAAGGTGAGCGCACGACAAATTGCCACGCACGCTTCAACACACATCAATACAAAGGCACAATTCCCCCCCGTGTACGATTGTCATGTTATGACATGCAGATGTCATTGAAAAAAAAAAAACACCTGGGATGTAATTCATCTTCTCTCCCTGTTCCTCGGAAAGTTTGGATGGCTTTAGATGGCCTTTTGGGCGCACGCGCGCGTGTATGTGTGTGTGCACGTGCATGCGCGCGCTCCGAGGGATTGCCTCTCCCACATCTGAGAGGTCTCATCCACGGTTTTGATCTCCCGGCCAGACATCTGCTGACACTTAAAAGTCAACTGCAGCTGGAAACCATACTGCACTTGTGAAAGTTGCACGTGTACCCCGTATGCGTGTGTGCGTCTGCCTATATGGCAGTCGCACGCGTGCGCGCGCGTGCAGGGTTGACCTCCCGTCACCCGGGCCTGCTGCACACTGTCTGATTGCCGTCCACTGGTAATACCGAGAAAGAGCGAGGAAAGACCTTAAGTCTTCCCTGCAGCGATGTCAGCATCCCATCTACCCCTGGAAGCAGCTCTTTAAATATCAAAACCTGCAAGATAGGTCATGCTAAGGCCACGGGTATTTCCTCCTCACTATTAAAAAAAAAGTGTTGGCGTTTGAACATTTCTGAAACACATTACGACGTCTCCGTTCCTTCGAGTGGTGGAAAAAAAAACAAAGCTTCTGCACGCAAATGCTGACATTTGAAATTGAAGGCGCTTTTATAGCGTCTGCTAAAGCCCGAACAAAGTGGAACAAGCTACTGAACGTCTCCGCCCTGAATGACATTTACCATCGGGTCCAGTTTGCGTGTGATCAAGAGGCCGAAATGCATAGAATAATACCCCGTGTCTAAAAATACCTGACGCAGCTTGAGGCCGCCTGGCCCGCACCGTGGTGTTTCAGAATGCCTTTTACCCGAGAGATTGTAATTAATGGTGGGTGTTAAAGGCTGAACAATTCCCACTGAATTCTTTCAACATGTTGCTCGCAGTCCGCGATCGTTGAAAATGCACTCCCGGCCTGGGCGCCGGCCCGTTAAAAGTCACAAGGCGCGGCAACGCCGAGGCACTTTTGCTTGATTTGTGGCCCGGGGCTATTTTTATGCCCATGTCAACCCGGCCGTTCTTGACAGCTGCCCCGGTACAATGGCTGGCATGCCGCCTCGTGCGCCAGGCGCCAAACTGGTTCCAACCGCTGTCCTTTTTGTTGCGTTTCAAAGTCCGCAGGTTGTTATCCTCCGCATACAACAAACGGCGGTGTTTGTCATGGGAGGTTGCCAGCGGGCTGTCGGTCGAAGGGCTGGAGGGCAGCTGCTTTACAAACTCCCCCCCCCCGAGCGTTCTAAGTGTGCCGACTCCACTGGGAAGCCGGTCCGACACAGGCAGGCACTGTTGTGCCTTCGCCGCATACACGTAAACGAGGCCCCCGAATTTTGCGTATCCGCCCTTTTCAAGAACTCCCGCATGCTGCCTTGCGTCAGGCAAAGCCGAACCAGCTGTGTGTGCAAAGTTTTACCGCACCCTTTCCACACTTCCAATGGTGCATCCATCAGCACAGTCTGCGACATTTAACAGAGATTTGGTTGTACTCCCCTACCCGGCCCACCCCTCCTCCACCTTTTTAAAACAACCACTCAAAGCCCGTAGTGTTGTACATGTACAAATTGCTACACGCAACTAAAAATGTGAGTCGCGTAATCGCGGTTGTGGAGACGGCGAGAACGAGCCGACGCCTCCAACGTCGGGTTGAGCGTTTGAAAAGGAAAATTTATTCTGCATTTTCATCATTTCAAATGGTTTCCCGCAATAGAATCCAATTCAGCTCTTAATCGTTGAAGATTGAAAGCACCGATGAGCAAACGAAGCAAATGTTAAAGTTGTTACTTTCTTTTTTTTTTTTTTTCCACTGTGGCAGCCTGCTTAGGTAGCAGCGAGTTCACTCTGTCAATAGATAAATGCTTTATGTCGCCGTTGTTTCAAGATGCAGCGGCGACAAAACATCAAAAATTGATTCGAAGTTGATGTCCCTAAAATTCCACACCATCGTCAAAATAAAATGGCCAAGGCATTTTGTTGTTGTTTTGGGCAACTAATGCAAGCCGAGTAATTAGTCCAGCATCGGAGGTCAAAGGTACACGGGAGTGCAAGCTGAGAATGTGCACATCAAGAGTGACTCCACCAGGTCAGGTCACGGTGCATGTCAGACCGGGTCATGGCTCTGTCCGCCAATCAGAACCTCCCCCAATCTGCTCACCCCCACCCCCCGCATCCCGTCTGGGACTTCCTCAGCGTCCAGACAGTCAGTCAGGGAGCATTACCATCACTCGGCAACTGTGTGCTTTTGCAAAGGATTATATCTTTAAAAGGACCCAGGGAAGGAGACGGGGAGGCGGGAGGTGTGTGTGTGGGGGGGGGGGGGGGCAGGCTATGAAGGTGCTCACTCAAGGGTACGGGGAAGTCGAGCCCCTCTCTGGTCGTGACCCCGCCGTGTGGGGAAAAAAATAAAGGGCTCGGGATATGGAGCAGACGGTATTGTTGCCATCTTGTCAGTCTCCCACTTTCATCTTTCTGGCTGAGGTCACCGAGTTGAAGTGATACGGCAGATGGCAACAACGTGCGTGTTATCTTCATTGAAGACTCTGCATATGTGAGCGTGACCCCGCCTCTCGCCTAATGTCACCACTGATACCATCCAGCGAACCCCTTTCTCAAAAACGGATCATCCGGGTGTATTCCTTAATATTGTAGCCCATTTCCGGTTCTATGGTTAGCTAGCCTCACACTTTGCTTCTTTGCTATGAGACATCACACAAATGCTAAAGGAAAGGTAAAATTAAGAACAGTTGGCGGCATATTTTTTTTCCCAATAACCTTTGGTTGAACTCCAAATTGTATTTTTTTTTGTAGGGGAGACTTTTGATCTTTCAAAACGACTGAAAACTAGCATTCCTGCTAAGCCTGGCACATTTACACTGTTTATTCTTGTGTTGATTAATGTGCTCTGTCCCAATCAAATTAACACCAAAAAAAAACAAAAAACCTTATTTCGAAAAACGATGCACAATTAAAAAGGAGAGTGAACTAATGGCGGACTGGGAACGATATCATCGTTGAATAAAAACCGACGAGGAGAAAAGGAGTCCCGTGCGTGCGTGACTTACTTGGCGACACTTACGCCCGTGTCGTTGCACTGCATTATTTGTCCAGTCGTTCATACGAAGCTATCGGACAAAAAAACGGCCCCGCGCTCCCGTTGGGGAATGTGGGAGTGTGTTGAGAAATGTGGTGACGCGATGTCGATGTGTCAAGGGCATCGCTTGACACAGCGGCAGAGCGTCTTGATTGAAAACTCCTTTTGGTGGCGGGTCTGTTTTTGCTGACCCGCCGTCCCCGAGGAGCGCTCTTGATTGAGTTAACGGTCCCTCCCTCCCTCAGTTGGGCCAGACGCGTGAGGTGGGGTTCGAGGTGGCGCGCATCGGGACAAGTGCGGTATTCCCATCCAAAAGGCGTATTCGTCTCTTTGACACGTCCGCGACGTATTCCTCTCACGCCGTGACCAAATCTTGTGATCGTCCCTCAGTGTTTGAGAACAAAGACAAGATCGTGATCGTCATGGAGTACGCCAGCAAAGGCGAGCTGTACGACTACATCAGCGAACGGCGGCGCCTGAGCGAGCGGGAGACGCGACACTTCTTTCGGCAGATTGTCTCCGCTGTGCACCATTGCCATAAGGTAAGAAGCCACACACGCTTTTCTTTCCTGTTTGCTCGCACGTCCCCGGGATGATGGTTTTCAGGCTGCAGCATGTGGAACATTCACCGCGCACCTCCGCATCGGGCTTCGCTCGAAACAGTTAATCCGCGAGCCTTGACGCTGTATGCTTTTCTTGGCGCACTGCGACAAGAGACTCATCTGTTTCTGAGTGAAGACGGAACACAGGCCAGTTTAATTCAGGCTTATACGTTCTGGTGACAGCGTATCGGCGAGGCCCCCTGCTTTAGTTCTGTCCTCATCTGATACAATGGTGGCGAGCGTTCCAGGATAGCCCCCCCCCCCCCAAAACCGGCCGAAATCTCCCCGGAGGATTTGGCGCCGGCCGCGCCCACGTCAAACCCGTTTTCCACACCTCAGTAATTCCCATCAGATTCGCGGGGCTCGACTGGATGGGCTTCCCTCTTTATCATGCCTCTCCTCGGGCCCCGGAGATAAGAATGATGTCATCGTCCCCAGATAGGAGAGTCCCTCACAAACAATGGTCTCCTCATCCTTACCAGTTAATCTCGAACCGGGCGGGGCAGCATTACTCACCGCCACAACAAGCAAGCAAACATTTCATCGGAGGATCAGCCAATCGGGCATGCAGATGTGGCCCGCTGGGAGTATTCCTTAACCCACTCCCTCCCTCCCCCCAGTGGCTCAGTATATGGTGAAAGTATAATTTCCAGTGGTCCAGTGGTTAGCCCGTCGACCTCACAGTGTAGAGGTTCAATTCCAGCTCCGGCCTCCCTGTGTAGAGTTTGGATGTTCTCCCTGGGCTTGCGTGGGTTTTCTCCGGGTACTCCGGTTTCCTCCCACATTCCAAAAACATGCATGGCAGGCTGATTGAACACTCCAGATTGTCCCTAGGTGTGAGTGTGAGCGTGGATGTGTCAGCGGATCGGAAAATGAATGAATGAATGAATGAATATAATTCGCACCGGAGGGAAATTACAAGCCAGCGGAGTTGTGACAAAGCCACAGAAGGTCTCAGCATGGAGACACCAGACAGTGACAAGAGTTTCACTTTAGGGTAGATTATCCCTTCCTAGAATTCGGATTAAAAACTGCAGAAATTGCATGTGGATGCTGAGAGATGCCGAGCTGGAATGCCAAAGACACAATAAAAGTGCCTAAGCAAGACCATTTATAAGTTATTGCCAGGATCATGAACCTCACTGTCCTATTTTTGCCGATAAGTAAATACAGGAGAGACTCCTCCACTGTTTTTTTTTTTTTTGTCAATGCCTCGTACTAGCTGAGGCGTTCGATTGCGCGCATTATTTTATTGCGCATTCCCAACGGTATCATTTTGATGTGGAAAACAATGCATGCGGTGGGGAAAAAAAAAAAAAAACGGAATTATGTGATATTAAGGCGTCGTCGCTTATCTTTCCGTGTTTGCAGGAAAAGTCGGACCGCAGAAGAATTAGCGCGTAGCCTCCTCTTTGCTCATGATTGATTTGTGTGCCTTCTTTCAGAATGGAGTGGTGCACCGGGATCTGAAACTGGAAAATGTGCTACTGGATGAAAACTGTAATATTAAGGTAACGCTTTAAAAAAAAAAAAAATCTCTTCAACCGATTCACCAGTGATGGATAAACGCCAGCATTCTCTCATTCTTTGGGTCTTGCGATCGGCAGATTGCTGACTTCGGCCTGTCCAATCTCTACCACAAAGACAAGCTGCTGCAAACGTTTTGCGGGAGCCCGCTCTACGCTTCGCCAGAGATTGTCAACGGGAGGCCATACCGCGGGCCGGAGGTGAGCGCCGGTGACGCAGAGGCTATAAAGTGCGCTCGCAAGTTTCCATTTGATGAAGCCATCGCGGTCGTTAGCCCTCAGCGGCAGATCCCACGGCACCGTTAACACCTTTTGCACTCATCCCCGTCGCATCTGTGCACAAAGAGAAGCGCGGAGCTTATTTGCAGTTCTTTGATGGGATTAGCAGCGGTCTCCGGGCGAAAGGGTGTTGGGGGGGTAGGGGGGTGGTCTCCGTTGCAACTCCACAGTGGTGCAACCCAAATACTGTCTTCTTCCATCCGCCGCCCTGGCGTTACCTCCTTGAAATATCCTTTGATGTGAGAAAGTGGGCGATAGGTGCCGCTTTCTCTTGCCTTCAGTCTAATTGGAACGGAACGAGCGGCATAGCCTCAAAGGGCGCTCGTGGTCACACGGTAAAACGTTTCCGAGGACTGCTGAAAAGGGTCACCGGACAGTAAGGGTTCGTATTCTTTTCTTTGTCCCACGTTTGGTAAAAGGAGTGAGTGCACTTGTATGCGATGTACACTATATAGTGCATGGGTGTCAAATATATGGCCCGCGGGCCAGAACCGTCCCTCCGACGAGGTTCGATCAGGCCCGCAGGATAATTTAAAAGTGAAAAAAATGCATCAAAGACACGGAATTAATATTTTTAATAAGATGCAATTCATGGATTATCCGATAGGGGCACACAGTGGCGACTGGACGTTTATTCACGTCGGCGTCCGATCATGCAAAGTGAGCCGAACCATGAAAAGAAAGCAAAAGTGGGACAAAGACGATACAAACGGAACTGATCCCCCCCGCCGCTGATAATCTCGTGCGGGGGCAGTGGCTGCACCAAAGCACACTGCAGTCCAAATTACTTTCACTTCCATAAAACAAAAGACGGGCAAAAGCTTTTCCTTTTAAGTAAGAGTGCTGAAACCCAAGTTTTCCACAAAGGCGAAATTCACTATAATTTCCTTGAGTCCTAAAAAAAAAACTCAAAAAAGAAAGAAAAACCATCAGCGTCCGATCTCAATTGAAAATTACACATCCGCAGTTGGGCTCAGGCCACAAATTACAGCAAACGCTTTGTCAAAAATAGCGCACAACAATTGAGCGCGCCCTCGTTTGCCTTCGCCGATAGCGAAGAGAGCACGCTGCATTCTTGATGCGAGTCCAGAGCCTTGGGAGGAAGTCTCTTAACTCGTCTTATCTAATTTCCTCCTTGTCGACTTTGTGTCAGCATTTCGCACAAGAACATTCCTCCAATTCTCTCATCATGCCGCTCCCACCCACCCAACGCTGACCAGACGCCGCAGTGTCACACAAGCAGGCGCGTTGCGAATCAGCGAATGGCAGCCAGTCACCGGCAGCATCTCTGCTGGTCTCATCTACCGGGCTGCCGTACGCTCCCACGACGTTCCCCTTGCACCTCGTCATGCCCCCAGACACCGAGTCTTATGTAACCACGGACTCAGAAAGCCGCATCGCATTACGTTGGTGGTCACAAAGTACTCGCTTATGCCTGACAGAGCGGGACAGGAAAGGATTTATCGGGATGGAAACGAGCCATTTCCCACCGGAGCGCCGGCAGTTCGTCAATGCAAAACTGCAAAAGACGTGCCCGGTGAGGCTTCGCAAACGTCGCGGGGCCCCTCCCGGCCGACGAGCGAGGGCGGAAAAGCCATTCGAGCGCTTATTAACGTCAACGTAATCTCCGAGGCATACCTCAAGGGTCTGTTCTGATGCGAGGCCGAGTCGAGTTCTTTCCACAACATTTATTTTAATGCCATGAGTCATTAATCACGTAAAGACCACTAAGTCGCCGTTGCATAATGTAACATTCCCGAGCCTAGCCGCATGCATAGGTACAGTGAAAGTGAACCTCCGGCTCTTCATGATTTACAAATTCATTTTATTGCATTTTTTTTTTTTTTTTTTGAGTTGGTGGGGGCTTACTCGCGGTATTTGGCCATTTGTGGCTTTACTCTCGACATACCTAACGGGATGGACTTGTTTGGTGTTTCTCCAGGTGGACAGCTGGGCACTGGGGGTGCTGCTGTATACCCTGGTGTACGGAACCATGCCGTTTGACGGGGGCGACCACAAGAACCTCATTCGCCAGATTAGCAACGGCGAATACAAGGAGCCCACGCAATCCTCAGGTGCGACACCACCCCATTATTTACACCCCGGAGACACACTAGAATCGAGACAGCGACTCATAACGGTGTGGTCAAGCGTGGACCTGCTACCTGGACTCGTTATGTTGCACTCGTTTTCTTACCGCCCTCACCCTCTTCCAAAAAAAAAAAAAAAAAAAAAAGGTTTGAATCAGAAAGTTGTTTTGGATTGAAACGATGTCAGTTTATCAACTGTATGTCGAGATACGTATCAAATTGAGTTTAAGTGGAGAGATCTACCCCCCTCATAAATATATACTGTATATATTGTACTGGAAATCTCTGGTGGAAAACCATATTTACAGTACTGACAAGTTCATTCATTTTGTAAAATGACATCAAGAAACTCATGAATGAACTGAGCCGCACTGAATGGAACCAAATCGAATCATTCCCCTTTAAAATCAACCGTCCTCGAATGGTATTGCACCCCTTGTATCGGATCATATTGTCTTTGATCGAGAGATACTTACCGATGTTTCAAATGTAGACAGAATCCATTTTTTTTGCGTTTGATTTGTCTTTAGATGCACGGGGATTGATCCGTTGGATGCTAATGGTGAATCCCGAGCGCCGAGCCACCGTGGAGGACATCGCCAATCACTGGTGGGTGAACTGGGGCTGGAAGAACAGCGTGTGCGACTGCGACGCCCAGCGGGACCGCGGCGGCTCACCCATGCTGGCCCGCTTCATCGACTGGCAGAACCGCACTGAGCCACGCGGTCCCGCCGCCAAGCCGGCCGCCTTGCCGCCGCCGCTGCTGCGCCAGAGGCCCAAAAAGTCCAAGAAGGAAAACGTGGAGGAAAGCAGACAGGCGGACGGTGGCGGCGAAGACAAACCGGGCCTGAAGAGACCCAAAGGCATCCTGAAGACCAGGGCGGCGGGGGAGCAGCGGTCGGCCGGCGCGGAGGAGGGCCAGACGGCCGGACCTGAGCAGGCGGAAGGCGGCAGTGAGGCCTCGAGTCCCGATCGAGAAGAAGAAGAGACGCCTTTTGGGGGAGGCTCGCCGGCAAAAATGGTGCCCACCCTGCCCAAAAAAGGCATCTTGAAGAACAACCAACAGCGGGAATCAGGGTACTACTCCTCCCCCGAGCGCAGCGAGTCGACGGAGCTCCTGGGTGGAGCGAGCATGACTCTGCTCGCAACTTCGCCACCCAAGAGAGCCATGGGAAGAAAGGGCATCTTGAAACGCAACGGCAAGTACTCCACCTACAGCGGCCCACCCTCAGCGGCCGCCCTGGCGGCCGGGGGGGCTCTCGGCGAGCCCCCCTCCGCCGCCGACTCGGGCCTGTCGCGCAGTCAGAGTCGGCCTTCCAGCATGGTAGGCGAGGACGGCGGTTCCAACAAGTCGGCGGAGTGGCACCCTTCCACGCCGCACCTGCGCCCCAACATCAGAGCGTGCGTGTCGGCCGAGAACCTGCTGCACCTGGCCAACTTTGCCAGCTTTCAGCCGTCGCCCGCCGCGCTCCAGGGCCCTAAATTCGGCCGCAGCCCCAGAAGCAAAGGCTCCCCGCGGGACAATGGCAGCTTCTCCTTGCTGGGGGACCTGGAGGACATGACTCAGGTGTACCAGCAAGCCCTGGACATTAGCAGCAACCTCACCTAACACATGGGACGGGAAGCACAACTCTGTGTGTGTGTGTGTGTGTGTGTGTGTGTGTGTGTGTGTGTGTGTGTGTGTGTGTGGGTGTATGTGTGTGTGTGGGTGTATGTGTGTGTGTGGGTCTGTGTGTGTGTTTATGAGGCATGAACGACCGGTGTGTTACTGGGATACAGATTTGTGAGGTTTTCCAAACAGGGCTGAAATCTTGATGGAATTGTTAGGCAAACACACACCCACCCACACACACACACACACACACACACACACACACATACACATACACACACATTCATAGGTGTACTTCGGAAGCGTATTGGTGCCCCCATAAAAAAGAAGGATCAGTATCACGTAATTATGGGAAAAAGTGTACCGGTACTTGAAAATTGGATAATGACAAAATCTTTTCACGTTATCACAGATCGTTTTATTTCAGCATTTGACATGAGCCGCTGAGAACGCGGGTGGTCGGACTCCCAATTTGGTCTTTTTTTTTTTTTTGCGGGAGTGTGATTTCAAAGTTGTATTCCCGCTGCCACGATGGCTCCGCCCATTTCAAAATACTTCCTCGAGTACGCATTCTTGTCACAATCTCATTCACTGTGCTCGACAACTGTACAAAAATAGCAGCAAGTAGAATTGAACGCAATCATGGAAATGAGACATCCTTGCTCTAAATAACGTGATAAGTTGACGCCATGGCGTGAAAAAGATAACGGTGTCCCGACTATTTTTGTTTGTGTTGCAGCAATACGCTCCTGTTGGATACACACTCAAGTGCACTTCTCAGGCCAGTGGAATATCTGTCAGGGCTTTTATGAGCAGAATCTGACACACACACATGCGCACACAAACACGCACAGACACAAATGCCACCCAAGTGTGTTTCTCAGCCTCTGCTCGACTGTCCACTTTGCCACCTCGCTGCGTTTCCACGTTTACACACTCAGCAAGAAGCGCAGAACCTTCCCCCGGAAAATAAATAAATAAAAATAATCTGGTCGTCCGTTTACAAAAGCACCTTAAAGAACTCACACAGAGCACACCGGCTTTTGTGATCTCGACTTCCTTTTTTGTTATCGGCATTTTTGGAAGACAGGATTTAAAAAAAAAAAAGCAAACCAGGGTCTTATTCCAAAAAAAAGTTGCTGATTTATTTATTAATATTTGTGTCGCTTTGTTTTTGTTGTTGTTGTTGTTTTTGTGCAAAACTTGACGGGCGTTTGCTGTTACTGGAATCCAAACTCTTGCTATGCGGATCTGACATGTAGAATTGTTTTATTAATGACGAAACGGACACTAAGAACTACATCCGTGCATTGTATGTCGCGAAGAATCGGTGTGTTGTGTTCTAGGGGTGGGAAGCATGTGTGAAACGTCCCGTTAACAACAGAACTCAGAAAGGGGAATCGAATGTCATCGGATCCAGCCGCAACGATACCGTGTCAATGTTGTACCCGTCCACCATCCCGGGTGCGTACGACGGTCGGTTGGTGGGCAATATATCGCAAGTGCCTTTTTTTTTTTTTAATGCGGAACACAAAAACCAGTTTTTCATTTCCTGCAACGGCAAGCCAAATTGCGTTTTATGTTTATGCTGGTATGGAGACACTCAACTATGGTGTCTAGCTTGACCCAGCAGGGTTTGGTTTAAGTGGCTGCCCCCTATAGGCCTGGAGGTGCACACACCACCTCGGGTTCATTTGTGTTTCGTCCTGTTTCTTTGCTTATTTACAGTCATGATGGGTCCCTCCCCCCCAACCCTCAAAGACTTTGTTATTATCAGAATGCTTAACATTTCGACCCAAAGCGCCATCGATACAGCTAAACCAAGGGTGTGCTTACCCACACTTTTTTTCTGAACATTTTTTTGTAGGTTTACAAACTAAACTACCGGGTGATTTGTTTAAACGTACTGCTGACTAAGCCAAATGTTGGGTCCCGCCAGACACAGGTGTGGGTGCGGCCCATCAGCTATGTGCGCTGCGTCGAGCGAGCGCAATTAACCGGCTATTGTTTTGAGAGAAAGTTGAATCGCGGGAAGAGAGGAAAGTGAAAAGAAGAGCTTGGTGGGATGTGTTTTTTTTTCTGTTGAGGGACTTGTGAGGTAGGTTGAAATAGATTAGCGAAAGTCGGAAGGTAGATGGAATGTTCTCCAACCAAAGATATGAGAGCAAGCTTTGACATAATTTCCTGAGGGGGGGCGAGGACCCTCCGGGAATCCCCCATGGCCGCTGCAGGAGCATGAAATCATGTCTGCATTGACGTTAGCTCACGTTTTTTTTTTTGTTGTGTTACCCACCCCCTCCCTGACCCCACCCTGACCTGTTCATGCAGCTCTAAAACTGCAAATGGCAGATGTTTGATTGACACCGTCCTTAAAAAGGTTTCGGAAATGATGTGGCTGGAAAAGCGGAATGTTGCTGGTGTGAAGGAAGGCTGCTGTGGTACTGGTATTGGTACCCCCCGAAAGAAAAAAAAAAAAACATCACATTATTGTATTGTATTGTGATCTATTGCGTTTTTTGGGGGGCAGGGGGGTATTTTTATTATTATTGTTAACTGGATTTACAGTGATCAGATTATACTATGTTAGTATTTTTTCTTTTATTATGCTTCTGTTTTTGATTTTACAAAATATAAGAACTTCTTTTTCTCTTTTCTTTTTCTTTTTCTCTTTTATTTTTTTTTTTTACAGCCAGGCTGCAAAAGAGTTTTTAATTTTGCTTCATTTGGTCACAGTTTTCCTCTCTTTTTGTGGGCTCACCACCACCTTGAAGAAACCAAAAAAGAAAAAAATGTATTTACCAAAGCGCATGTGTCCAAAAATGCTGGAAGAACACAAAGACAATGAAACTGGAATAATGTCTGTTGGTGAGCAAGAAGTGGAATCATAGGAAAACTTGACTGGATATTGTTATTACAATAATAAGAATACATTAGTATTATCATGTTATTTAATTATGCTTTCTTTCCATGAGGCTCATTACTCTAGTTGACATGATTTTTATTTTATTTTTTTTTGGTTATCCCGGACTGCCAACATGGGTTAAGTTGTGTGCCTTTGGTATCTTCTATGTCGTTTTTTTTTTTTGGATCATGCAAATGATGATCAACATGGTTTTATACTTGTATTTATTGGTGATCAAGCCATTTCCAGTCATGCTTTTTAGCCTGTTTTGGGAAACAGTGTACGTTTCGAGTCAGCATCATCTCATTGTGAAGGCAACAAATCGAGTTCAACTGTGCCAACTCATGTAAAGTGTCTTAATTTTTTTTTTTTTTTTTTTGGGCGGCCAGGGTTCAGCACAATCTCTGCAGTGCTGTAACAACAAATCAATAAACAGATCTGGAACGACATTACATCGCCGTGTTGTCTTTCTTGAATGTTCTTTCATCACTGGCATGGCCCTGTTGTCATGAAAGGAGCACAGAGAGAAAAAAAAAGCATTTTCTCTCCTCAAAGGACTTTTCTCTCCTGCAGGCTTCTCTCACTAATTGTGGGTCATGCGTCTTTACATGCACGAAGTAGACCAGTACTGTTTCTTATTCCTCAGCTGAGTTTCCAAACAGTCTCATCTGCTGACGTAGAGTAAAATGTGAATGCAAGAACCACCTCCTACCCCTTCAAAAAAAAAATATTTTCTTAAAATAGGTGGCATATTGAGGTCTGGTCCTGCCTCTTTATGAGGAATGATGTCATATAAAAAGGACTCTTCGAAGGGGAGAAAAAGTGTGAAATTATTCCTTTTATGACCTTATATGGTGTATTTCGGCCAAAATAAAGCAACGTACTGCAATACGTCAGAGTTCCCACGTAAACAATTGTATATTTTCTTTATTACCGATGACCCTTTTGCCTCCAAATGTGATATTTTTGGAAACCGTTACAAACAGTGGAAAAAACGTGTGTCTAATTACTGTACAAAATCACGTTGTTTGGCGACGCATGCTTTTCATTGCAATGATGTGATGTGAGGAAACACTTCACACCATGGAAATAAGGGAACATTTTCCAAATCCTCGCACTAGCCAACAGGCTACATTATATTCCTGTCAAAATAAGACACCCATTTAAATGCATTAGGAAAAAAAGAAAAAAATAGATATATACATTTATATTGTATATATATAAATATATATATACACACGCACGCACGCACACACACACACACACACACACACACACATACACACAAAAACACAGTAATTTATTTATTTATTTATTTTTTTACACCAAAACTCTTAAAAATACTGAATAACCTCCAATATACATTTTACAACATACAAAAACGGGTCTTATTATTATTATTATTATTATTATGATTATTATTATTATTATTATGGCAGCCTTGTGGTCCAGTGGTTAGCGCGTTGACCTCACAGTGCAGAAGTGCAGGGTTTGATTCCGGCTCTGGCCTCCCTGTGTGGAGTTTGCGTGTTCTCCCCGTGCCTGTGTGGGTTTTCTTCGGGTACTCCGGTTTCCTCCCATATTCCAAAACTATGCATGGCAGGCTGATTTAACACTCGAAATTGTCCCCAGGTGTGAGTGTGAGCGCGGATGGTTGTTAGTCTCTGTGTGCCCCTGCGATTGCCTGGCAACCGGTTCAGGGTGTCCCCTGCCTACTGCCCGAAGACAGCTTGGATAGGCTCCGGCACCCCCAGCGACCCTTGTGAGGATAAAGCGGATCGGAAATTGGATGGATGGCTATTATTATTATTATTATTATTATTATTATTATTATTATTATTATTCAACCCATTCGGCTCACCAATTTCCCATCCGTGGTGTGCGTACCACACAAAAAGTCCTTCAACACGACACTTCAACTTAGGCTGGAACTAATAAAACGTGTTGCAGTTGCTTGGGGGATTTTTTTGACCAGCACAACTCAACAGGACAACAAGCAAAAGTAAGTAAGTGCATTTTCAAAATCCCTTGTTTTAACAGATGACTGGAAGGCCCGAGCACATTAAAAAAGTCCTTAAATCACTTCTTTGCATGCTTGTTTCAGAAATGACAACCACAGTTCGTGTTGGGTAACCTTTTGCCAGCTGAAGCACATTAATCACTGCTATAATTACCCAGTGGAAGGCCCACAACGACACAGTTTGCTTGCTTAAATGCAGCTGCTGACTTTTTCTGATGTAGTTTCAATCGTCAAGTTGTCATTGTGGAGTTCAGCAATCAAACGTTTAAGCTGTAGCATAATGCAGCGGCGAGTACCTGAGCCTCCA